TTGGAGTTCCATCAATTTTGGAGCCCCACAACATCATCCCACACTCAACAGAACAAACCCAGACACAAAAATTCAAAGCCCCAGCACAGCAAGAGCAGCACAGGAATATTTACATGCCAGCTTCATCTTAGCCATGTCCACAAAAAAAAAAAAAAAAAATTAAAATTAAAATATCAATTACTTCAAGCATTTAATCACTTCTCCAAAGCAGGTGGAAAAAACCCAACCCACAACAGAAGATAATGCCCTGAAAGAGATTTTTGGCTGAATTTTCACCCTCAGCTGGAGTTAGGACAGAGCTCAGGCAGAGTTCAGCAAGCTCAGCACAAGGTTCTGGGCTTGGCTTAAACCCATCCTTAAACCCAGCACGATTTCCTGCCTGCAATCCTCACCTCTGCTCTTCAGCCCCACCAGGGTGGATTTGAATCTTTTGGGAAAAGAAAGAAGCAGAGACAAAAGTGTGACTGAGATTTCTCCCCGGAGGGAGCACCAGGACAGCCAGGTATGGACTGAGATTCAGATTAGACAAAAATAAATGACCATAAATCCCAAAATCTCTGATTTCTGCACGGGCAGCTCAGCACAGTGGCTGGTGGCAAACTCACTGTGGACAAAGGATGACACCAAAGGACAGAAATCCCATCATGAAAACACCAAATGGCAGAGATCCCATAATGAAGATACCAAATCACAGAAATCCCATCATGAAAACATCAAAGGACAGAGATCCCATAATGAAAACACCAAATCACAGAAATCCCATAATGAAGATACCAAATCACAGAAATCCAATAATGAGGACACCAAATGACTGAGATCCCATAATGAAGACACCCAATGATAGAAATCTCAAAATGAAAACACCAAATGACAGAAATCCCATCATGAAGACACCTCCAGGTTTCTCTGTGGCCCCTGGGCAGCACACACAGCTCCCCAAATCTGTGCCAGCCCCAAACCAGGCTGAGGCTCCAGCCTGGGGATCCTCAGCCAGCAGAGTCCCCAGCCCTGGTTGTCCTACATGATTGGGTTTTTGTTTTTTTTTTCACTCATTTTTGGGGTTGTTTTACACTCATTTTAGGATTTAGATTTTCAGGAGCTTTGGCTTTATCAGAAGCTCATGCAAAGTGAGCAGCAGTCACATGGGACACCAACTCACACCATTTCTTCTGTTTACAGTCAATATTCAACGTCCTGAGGCAAAACACAGAGGCTGGGGTTTGGTCCTGCGGGGTTTGGTGGAGCTGCAGTGGCTTTAAAGGATCAGCATCACTAAATCCCAGCTGGGCAGTGTCAGTGTAAACCCAAAATCAGCACCTTGTGCCCATTGCAGTGCCTGGCCCTGTTTTGGGAAGTGAACTGAAAATGGTTTTTGTGTCAAAACACTGAGAGAAGTGAAACATTTCTTAACGCAGGTAATAATTCTTATTTACCACTCAGCCATAGCAGCAACACAGGAGGGGAAAACCAGAGGCTGGCATTGAGCAGGAGAGTGCTAAAAATATTCCCAGTACAGCTGAGCCTAAAGCTCTGTTGTTGTCCTTAATGAACCTGCTAATGATCTCTTAATTCTTCATTTAGACTGATAATTGCTGATGAGGACAACTGGGAATAGAGTTGAACTGATTTATACCAGTTTCCAGTCTGCCCTGGGGGTTGTACCTGGCAGGAAAATCCCTGCTCCAGAACTGATGGAAAACCCAAACCCAGTTATTTGGAGGGGCCCTCTTCCCATAGTTTATAAATTCAGGGGATGAGGGAAGGCACAGGCAGCAGTGAGAATGGCAGATTTCCCCTTAAAAAACCCTGGCACATGCATCTGGGAAAAAAAAAAAAAAAACCAAAAAAACCTTTAAAAACGTGGCACTGTTCATTTAAAACAGCAGAAGGCAGGAGAGCCCTGGCCAGGACAGGAATATCAAAAAAGCATAAATAGAGATATTCAAATGCTGCATGAATCACACAGCAGCAAAATACAGAAATACATGGAGCTCCTTTAGAAAACAAATGCTTTAGAGGAAAAGTTTCCAATCAGTGATCCTCAATTCCTAAAGATAAAACTGGATTGCTTTAAAGGGTCCATAAAAAAAAAAAAACAACCAAACCAGCAAAATGTGCTGCTCGCCAGTAGGCTCAAATCAGATTCATGTCACTGCTAAAAAAATGATTCCAGGCCTAAAAAGCAAAGGGCTGAAACCCAGTGTTCTAAGAAATTCCAGCTATAATAAGCTTTAATCTCCAGTTAATTCCCAAGAACTATTGCACTGAACTCTCTAGCAAATGTCATTTATTTCAGTTCCCTTTTAGCCAGGGCAGTGTGCATTAATAGATACTTATTAATGCTATGACCCCTGGAAGTTATTTTAAATAAGAATATTAAAAGCATTTCTTTTGGTTGTCTGCCTGATTTTGCTGTTGCATTTTAATAATTTCTTGTGTTTTGCTCGAAATGGAATTTGGAGGCTGCACAAAACGTGCTCCAGGTAATCTTCAGCACATCTTTTAGATATAATCTGATTTTATTACCTGGAAAAAATCATTTAATGGCTCTTTTATTGTGCTTTTATGTAAATAAATAACCACGAGCCACAAACACACATCCCACTAATCCTTTTTGGAATTAACATTGCTATTCCTCCCTTCCTGGCAAAGGTAGGAATGGATTTGCAGAACCATCTTTTATTAAATAAAAGTTGGGAATTTAGTGACACAAACCTGTGCATGGTCACAGGTGAAAAAAATCTCCACCTGGGCAGCATGGAGAGAACATGGCAGAGAGGGAAAGAGGAAAGAATTACCCAGAGCAGTTTTTATTTGACTTTTGTAGCACTCCTGGTTTTCCTGTGCTGAAATCTCCTCTCCCTGTGTCCTGCCCATGTCTCAGGGGAAAGGGTGAGAACAAGCAGCTGCAGGAAGGCAGGAATATTTGCAAGAAAAATATAAAACATTTGTGCTGTCCTTCTTCATCAGCACTTGTAGCTCTGCTGCTCTGCCCTGTGGCAAAACAGGAGTTAAAAATTAGAGTTTCAAAACAGCATCGAGGCTTTTGTTGGAAGTTCCAGAGATTTTTTTTTTTTTTTTCTGATCATGTGAAGAAATTTTGCTGCAAAGGGGCTGTGGCATTGCCATCCCTGTGGGGACAAACCTTGGGGATCCTCCACACAAATCAGGTTTGGTTAAAAACAAAAATACAGCTTAAACATATAACAACCTAAAAAAACTGAACTACAACCTAAAAATATAACCCTAAAAAAATGGAATAATATAACCCTTTTATACAGCTCAGCCCAATCCTCTCTGGCAATGCCAATTCAGTGATTTCAACTCCTTAAACTCCTCACCTCCCCCAGTATTTCTCTGCTGCTCTGGTGTCCTAAAAAACGCAATAAATTCAGTTTACACAAAAAGGATTCATTTTCCTGCTGCCTCATCCTTCTTTGAGGCTCCCAGAGTGAAGTGATCCATGACATTCACAGAAAGAAGAGAACAGTTACTGGTCCTTGCTCAACGAACCAATAAAACAGTTTAAACTCAAAATATCTTCCTATTTAGTAAACATGCCACAATTCATATTGTATTTTATGCCTTTTTTTTGGCTTCTGACTCATTGTTTTTTGAATGATTAAGGATGAGAATGTTGTCTGTACACAGCACCTTTCTATTTTAAAAGCTGTGAAGCACCTGAAATTCAGATTGTAAACTCTTCTGGGAGGAAAGCATCCTCTTCCAGGGATGTGTGCTGTGTACAGCTGGTATTCAGGAAAAGCTGGCAATCTCTCAATTCTGCCTTCACAATTGTATTCTACTGCTGTGAGGAAAGAGAATCTTTTCCTCCCCTTGGATTTTAGCACGAAGAACAGGCACTCTTCACTTCCACATAATTTCAAATCAAAGTAAAAAGCTCTATTTACACTGAACTGGTTAAAAAAAAAAAAAAAAGTTCAGAAAAGAATTTTCCTGGCTCCTTTTTCAATGATCTGTGCACTCCCATTGCATGAAGTCCAGGACAGAGCAAAGCTAATAAATTGATAGCCAATAAATCCTGCATTCATGCACAAAGTCTCAGTGACATGGACACATCTGGGCAGATGTTGGATAATCCATTTGTCCCTTTTCACTTTGGTGCCTGTGATTTTCTCTGTCTGGCATAAAAAAAACCTGTCTAGAATGGACTTTTTTTTGGTTAAAATTAAAGAACTAGATATTTTCCATATCTAATGTCCACAATTCTAAAGAGCTCCTAAATATTAGGAAAGAAACAACTGGCTGACCATAAGAAGGAATCAGACTTCTAAAGAGTCATCCATGAAAAGAAAAAAAATTTAAAAATCATTAAAATCAGGCTGGAGAGGTGGAATTTCCATGGGCACAGGCAGGTTTAGGTGTGTGGAGAAATGAGATAACCATGCCCTTGTGGCCTGGCTGAATTAGGAGGCAGTGCCAAAACCTCTGGAGGTGAGAGGTGCTTGGTTAAAAAAGATATTCATGAAGATATTTTCCTGCATGTTCAGATTTGATTTCTCTATCTGAGATTCAAGGAGGTTGCAGAATCAAACAGTGCCCAGTAAAGACCAGAGCAAAGAGTCCCTGGCAGCCATTCCTTGGCAAACCCAAGGGTGTGGTGATGGAAAGCAAGGCCAGAATGAGGGATGAGAAATGAGTTGCCTCATTCTTCAGCTGGACAGGATGCCCAGCCTACTCCACAAAGCACTGCATCCTACTCCTACAGCCACAAGGACATGGTTGCAAAAAAAGCCTTGATCACAACTTCAGGGTGGAACTGAGACACAGAAAGCTCCAGAGAGGAGACACGAGATGAACAACTCAAAGCTCAGATTTGCCACAATCGAGGTAAGAACTTCCTTCCTCCAGCACCTGCTGTGGAATCCCCACAGCTGGCAGGTCAATCCAGAGAGATGGCACAGTCCCAGCGTGCTGGCACCACCCTGCCCTGCTCCCTGAGCACACACACACACACACACAGAGATTGCACAGACACACAGCCCTGTTTGCCCAGCCTTTGCTCCTATCTCCTCTCTTTCCCACCTAGTTCTTGCAAGCACCGTGGCCCTGCGTGCCCAGGGCGAAGTCCACGGCCTGGTGCACGCTGTGGAAGAGCAGGTGCTCCTCCCCTTCTTTGAAGAAGTCCCCTCGGAGCAGGGAGCTCCTGACAGAAGGGTTGCACTGGGCCAGCAGCACGTGGACATCGATGTCCCCGTAGTCCTTGCAGACCTCCTGGAGCGTGCGGATGCCGGCCGTGTCCAGGAACTGCACGGCACAGCAGTCGATCACTATGGTGTGAAACCCCACAGCTTCCAACCCCAAATCCGTGGGGATGTCGCTCTGCTTGTCCCCAGACCCCTCCTCCTTCTCCTTGAGCATCCTCTTCTCCGCTTTCTTCTTGGCCGCCTTCACCCACACGGGGTTGACCCCAGTTTGTTTGTAGAGGATGGATTTGAAGCACTCCTTGTTGATGTAATACAGGGGGGCTTCAAATCGGAACACCACCACCCCGGGCTTGGTTTGCAGGTTTTTGTAGGCAGACAGGGACTCGTAGGTCTCCGATTCGGCCACCCAGCCCAGCAGCGGCGCCTCGGGGCGCTGCGTGCGGAAGATGACGCAGAGCATGGAGAAGCAAACCCCCACCAGGAGCCCGATCTCGGTGCTGATGAGCGCCGTGGCCACCATGGTGACCCCCCAGATCACCGTGTCCACCTTGCTCAGGTGCCACATCTTGGGCAGGTCCCTGAACTTGCGCAGGGCCCCGCGGAGGTTGACGATGGTGATGACGGCGAGGACGCATTTCTGCAGGGAGTAAAACAACGGCGCGATCACAAGGAGCACTAAGAGGATCACCAAACTGGTCACCAGGCCGGACATCTGGGTCCTGCAGCCCGTGGACTCCTTGACCAGGGTCTTGGCAAGAGCAGCACTGGTGGTGAAGCAGTGGAAGAAGGAGGGGATGATGTTGCAGAAGCCGATGGCGTACATCTCCTGGTTGGCTCTCACCGAGTAGCCGTGCTTCTTGGCGAACATCTCCGAGAGGGACACGGTGATGGCAAAGCCAATGATGGCAATGGGGATGGCATCCAACGCCACGTTGGGAATCAGGGCCCAGTCTGGAGGCCGTGGTGGCAGGAACCCAGTGGGGATGTGCCCGGAAATGCTGGAGCCGTAATTCTCTCTCAGCTTCCCAAAGTGAGACGCCAGAGTGGCTGCCACAACCACGAAGAGTTCCACTGGGATGGGAGCCTTGAGCTTGGATTTGAAGCGTTCGTTCAGCTCTTTGGCCGGGATGAGCACCAGGAAGCACAGGAAGCTGGTGATGAGGTCGCAGAGGTTGGTCCTGTGGATGCTCCTGAAGATGTTTATCCAGGTGGTGACGAGGGAGCCGATGCCCCCGCTGCGAGGGATGTCCAGGCCCAGAAGGTATTTGACTTGTGAGGTCAGCACAGTGATGGAGGCCCCTGTGACAAAGCCACTGAGCAGAGAATCCGACAGGTACACGGAGACAAAGCCCACCTGGAAGAAACCCATGGCCACCTGGAAGGAATCAACCACACACAACAGGTCACGACAGAAATTCCACAGATTTTATCAGCTGGGATTAAAAAAAAAAAACAAAAACAACATTGGGCATGGCCCTGAAGGGTGAGGCGTGGTCTGAGCAGGGAGAAAAGTCTCCAGTATTCAAACCAGGCTTTTTTGGGAGTCTTCTAAATATTTCTTGTTTGCTCTCCTAATTACCCAGATGGGGAAAAAAAGAAAACCTAGGGAAAAAAACCAAACCTAAACCTCACATTTGAAGCACTGCCTGCTTTTGCCATTTCTCTTTCGGTTCCTCTAAACTCTGTGAACTTTGCAAGGATCTAAAACTTTTCTGGTGGCCTTTGTCTACCTTACACTGGAGTTGAGAGCCTGCAATAAAACCACAGCTTTGTGGGTTAACAACTGTCCTAATAACTGTCCTCTGACTCACAAAGTCTGCAATGAGCTGCAAACTCTGCTGCAGGTCATATAAAACACAGATAACTGGGAACTCCAGGAGAATCTCAAAGAATTACTGAATTACAAAGAATTCTCCAAGAAGACAAGGCAGGTTTGGGAGCTGGACTGGCTGAAATCAGCTCACAGCTCTCACAAAGGCTCCCTTATAGCCTTGATAATTAATTCAAGGTTGATCTAAGTGTAAAACATTAATAATAATTAGCTAACCTAGTTAGGCTGTATTAACTGGTGGGAGAAGATTTGCTTTTTATGATTTGATTGTAAAGTTTCTGATACAAAGAATATGTGATTTTGGTTGAAAAAAGAAAATTTGAGGGTGTTGGCCTTTAGAGAATATGCTTAATATTCAGAGGGACAGAAGATAAATTAATCTGATTTCTTCAGATAAAGAAACTTAACTGTATTTGTACTTGCAAAGAATAATAAGTACAATTCACAACTCCAAAACTGCACCCATCCCACAGGGATGAAAGATGAAACCCAAAATTCAGCATAGCCTGAGAGGCCCAGAATATTTCTGAAATAACTCAACACGAACTTGCAGTACAAAAAGTTCCAGGTTGTGCCCAAAACCTGTGTTTTAAAGTATCACAAACATGTTTTGCTCCCCTCCTAGATATTTTGATTGTCTCCCACTCAACCCTGGACACATGAGAACAAATGAATGTGAACTCACAAACTCAAATACCTCAGCTCTGCAGTACTGCAAAAAAAATAATCCCATTCTGGTTAATGAATAAGACTCTAAAAACAAAGATACCTGCTTTAATTTAGGCAAGCTGTGAGTTCTAGAAAATAAGTAGAGAATGAATAAATATAAAATATATTGGATCCTCTCAGCAGAATCCTTGCCATGCAGTAGCATTGGTTTGGCTTCAAATGGGCAAACAGCAAATTTTTAAAAGCACATTTACAAATAAAAGGGAACTGGAGATACTTTTACTGTCCAAATTTTTCCTCGTTAAAGGCAAATGATTAAAGACTGGAATTAGGAGCTGATTTTGGCCTGATGAAATGGGGTCTAATGCAAAAAAAAAAAAAAATTAAACAGAGCTTCAGGCCACAGTGAGGAAGGTGGTGAGCAAACCTTGAGAGCTGGAGGTGCAGGTACTTAAGAGTCCCCAAAAGAGAAACAATGGAGGCAAGAAAAGCTGTTAAAAAATGGGGAGCACTCCCTAAAAGAGAAGCAAAAAGAAGCAGTGCAGGCAGGAAATTCTGTTAAAAAAGGGGGAGAGCACCCAGAGGAGTTTCCTGCACCACAGTGACCTCCAGCCCCGAGGTGCAGATTGAAGATATGTGCAAGCCCAGCAGGATGGGGACATTCCCTACAGAAGAATTACAACTATTACACCACACCTGCCTGTCTGTGGTATATATAGGTTAAAACTTCGTGAAAATGGCCTTGTAAAATCAGGTGTTATTACTGTTTTAACTGAATTAAGTTAGCCTGTTGGGTTTCTGTGAGAAACAAATTCTAAGGATGAAAAATCAATTTGCATAACAATCTGTTCTTGTGAAAAAAACAAGCTGCACTTACAAAAATAAGAATTCTATCTCGTGAGAATCTCTGTGAAGCAAATATGCAAACTATCTAAAATCAGCAAAGTTTGACAGACAAATACAATAACCCTTACCAATTAATGAACTGAGTTTCACTAGATTACTAACCAAGTACATTCAAACACAGTGCCTTCTAATGCCATATAAAAATGAACTTTCCACAATAAAAAATTAAATTATTCTGCACAAAAAAAAAAAAATCCCCAGATGTTGTGTTGAGTCTTTGTCTTCTTTTTGCCAGGGTTGGGATTGAATGTGTCAGATGGTATTTCTTGTTTGGACTCAGATGTTTATTATTTGTTTTACACTCTCATAAACAGAGTTCTACAGCACTTCAAGCTAACAAACTAAAAATGGAGCCCTATCTCTCTCTCTCTCTCTACGAGGCTTTTTAAGGATAAACTGTCCAATTAAGAAGTGACACCTCAATTATTTTTACTTTTCACCCGATAACAAATCACCCGTGGCCTGCAATGTGGAATTTTCTATCCAATTACACAATATCACCCAAAT